GGTGCTATCTTCATCTTATTCACAAACATCAAGGTCAAGAGGATAGTCGAACAACACTAAGGCCACAACTAAATCATGTATCATTCTGTTTGTTTTCCAGAATTCGTGCCATTTTTGGCTTCTTAATGTGTTTGTAATATGTTCTTTTCATGTAAATAGTTTTAACTACGTGACCTTTTAGGTGATTCTGAAGAAATCAATACATGTATATCGAGAGCAAATATTGAGTATTTTGTTAACTCCTATACATTCATGAATAAAACCAGGTGGTTCTTTTACCATGCTGTGACGAAAGAGCTAAAAAGTACAGCATTATGTAACCCATTAATTGATGTATACACCTTATGAACTTTGGTAAAACAAAAAAGTATAATTGCTATTGATCATCATACATAGAATACAGAGTGTGGTTATATCAGGGCTTCATTACATTAAATTCCTGCCTTCCAACTATACTATAATCGAGGAGAAAGCTGTATCAGATTATATTTCAACTGTGTATAACACAACAAACTTTCAAATCTATATATTCAAGTTTAATACCTATGTTTTCATCTTCAATTATTCGGATTTGTATTCATCGTCGATTACTGAATCAAGGCGCCACTCACTTCCATAATAGGAGTTGGGCAATCCCAACCAGAACTTGAATGCTTCAGCTGCTCGTTTGCGTTCCTTTCTCCTGTCCTGTCTAGCTCTCGACGCATGCTTACTAGTAAACATCCTTGAATGCATCTCGACGTAGATCCTAGTAAACTTGGTCTTATTTGGTGGTATCCCGTGTTGCTCCATGCAAGCAACGATTTCCAAAGCTTTCTTGAAGAAAGCCGCCCTGACACATATATCTGCCAAAGTATCCAACAGTCCTTCATCAGGTTCCAATGGCGGGACGCCTGAAGAGGGAATAGACTCCTCTCCATTTCCCATTCCGCACCTCTGTTTTATCTCATTCCAAAGCAAGAGCGCTTCTCCTGGCTTCCTAGCCAAAGCAATCCCATTTGCAAGACTGCCATAAGTGGCCACATTCGGGTAGAATCCGTTTTCTTTCATCCTCTCAATCACACTCTTTGCTTCCTCAACCTTTCCCAGCTTAGAGTATGCATCTACCAACATATTCCAAGCCACCAAATCAACCTTCACTCGAGGGTCTTTAAGCATCTCGTCAAACACCTTGTTAGCTAGCTTAGCCTGACCAGACGAGGCAAAAGCTTTCATCAAAGTGGTGTAACTTACTTTGGTCGGAGCAATACCTCTCGCTCTCATCTCGTTGAAGTAAGAAAGAGCTCCTGCACAGTCATCTACCAATATACATCCATCAATGATTGTGTTATAAGAAACCACATCAGGCTCTATTCCAGTATCAATCATCTCTTTAATCAGCTCTTCTGCCATGTCAATATGCAGCTGTTGGCAATATCCTTTGATCAAAACATTGTAAGTTACTCTATTAGCAGGGACACCAATCCTGACCATCTCGGCCAGCACCTCCCGTGCCCTATCCATTAAACCTTGCTTCACAAATGCAGAAATAACCGTCGTGTAAGTGACATGGTCCGGATGGCTCTCACTATCTCCTAGATGTCTCATTGCCTCTAACATCCTCACCATATCTGTAACACGGCCAGCATTCATATAACCTTTCATTAAAGTCGTATACATCCTAGAATTCGGTTCAAACACTCTAGACAACTCCGGTGGCTCATTATCTCTCCAATTAACAGAATTTGGGAGCAACTTGTCAAACACATCACTATCATTCAAACACACCTCTTCCACATTACCCTCTCTTAGCATCTTACACAAATCTCTCCTCCCTTCCCTCATTGCCTGAACAACTTTTTCAGCAGTAACCAAATCACCAAAACCAACATAAGCAGCAACAAGAGACTGAAATGTTGACATACACAATGGAATTCCTTTCTCAAGTATCCTTTCCAATACGAAAACAAGCAAATCCTTCCTATCACCTCTGGCACAAAGCTTAATCATCACATTATAACTCAAAACATCAGGCTCACAATCAAACTCACTCATTTCATTAAACAACTCCAAGAATCTATTTTTATCACCAAGATTAGCACAAGCATTCAACACAGCATTATACGCGGCTGTATCAGGCAGCGAATGCTTAACCAAATCAAGATTAGACAACCTACGAATCCTTTTAGTAACGGCACGAAAAAGACCCAAACTCTCAATTGGACCATCATCACCAGAGGATGCAAGACGACTAACAACAGAACTCCAAGCTTTAACATGAGGTAAATAACCAGATTTCAACATTGACTTAATAATAGAAGCAGCATAAAGAACATGTCCACCTTTAGCTGCAGCACTAGCAAGAAGTCCAAGGGAATTCGCGTCGAGGCGGTGGAGTTGCCGTTCATGGCGGAGGCGTTGGATGATTGACTGAGCACGGCGGAGGCTGATAGTGGAGTTTTGGTAAGATAATTGAGAAACTAAACGGCTAAGACAAGTGGGGTTTGGGAGTTGTTGATCAAGATTCTTGGTGTAGTATAACCAAGCTTCATCAGTCTTCCTTTGCTGCAAAAGGGTCAAAAGGGTATTGTCAGGGGAAGCTGAAAATGAGTTCTTGGAGGTGATTAAGGAAGTGGGGTTGGAGGGATTGGAAGTGGGGTGAGGTTGAAATGAGCTATTGGTAGCTTTACAAGTGAGGGTTGAAGAGGAGAAGGAGTTAAAGATGAGATTTTGGGTGAAGGGAAATGGTGAAGTTGAGGAAGGGGGTGAAAGGGGGGTGGGGGGTAGTAGAGTTGTCATGAATTCTTGAACATTTGGGGAAGAAGAGAAAGGAGAGGGAGAAGTTGTTTCAAATTGAGGAAATGGTGATAAGGTGTTTATTTTTGGGGTTGAGGGGTTTTGGGTGGAGAAGGGATGAACTACGTAATGGGGTTTAGTTGGTGGTTCTTGTACTTTCACTCTTTTCTTGATTTTTATTTTGGGGGTGGGGAGGGGGGGTGATTGGACACAACACAATCGAGTATCATAACATTTCAATCGTGTCATACAAAATAATCATCTAGACACATTCAAAAATTATTATGTCAAATTAGTATTTAGATGTCCACGAGACATAGTAAAGATGAATTGAAGGATTTAATTGTCAGTTGAAATCAAATTGAGATTTTGCTGGTGGCTCTTGTACTTACACTCTTCTTCTTGATTTTTATTTTTTTTGAGGGGGCGGGGACGGACACAACACAACTGAGTAAGCATATTTAGACACTTCATTTTGTCTCTTATATAGCAATTGAACACTACAACATATAAAATAATTATTTAGACACATTCAAAAATTATTGTGTCAAGTTAGTATTAGATATCCACGAGACATAGTGAAGATGGGTTGAAGTGTTTGATTGTCCGTTGAGAGATTAAGTTGAGGTGTTTAAATATACACGATCAAAGTTAAACTGTTTATTTGTTGGTTAAAATCTAATTTGAGGTGTTGTTTATATATTATGTTTTTTTTTATGGAAAAAAATTAAAAAAAATATCTAGAAGAATGGGATATTTTCACATCTTTTTGTTCTTTTTGGAGTGTGGATGGAAGGTGCCATCTACTTGGAGCATGTCTAGATTAAGACATTTTTTGGATTATTAAGATGGACTAATTGAGTGTGTGGTTGATATCAGAACTCATTTGTTTAATTAAATAATTATAAATAGCTTAGATGTTTCAAGTACTGAAATAATTAAAATATGCATGGTGGGTAAATGTTACTTTCTTCTGGCCCTAATTACTTGTCCACTTTAAATTGACACACCTATTAAAAAAACAAGTATTGACATAGTGAACTTACCATTTTCAAAAAGTTTTACCTTTTTCAAAGTAATTAACTGAGGGTATAATAGATAAAAATTTTTTTATCCTTTCTTGATTTGTCAAAATAGACAAGTAATTAGGGACAACTAAAAAGAAAAAAATGGACAAGTAATTAAGGACAGAGGGAGTATTTCCTTTGGGAGCCTTTTTTTTTTGTGGGGTGTGTGTGTGGGGTTGGGGTGGGGGTGGGGGTGGGGGCGTAAGGGATATTTTCTTCCTCTTGTTTGACAATCATTTATTGGGTGGTTCTTGTACACACACCCCTCAAACCCCAGGGAAGATTATATTTTTTCTTTTTTGTTCTTTTTGGAGTGTGGGTGAATAGTACTTCCAATTTGAAGTATGTCTAGATTAAGACACTTTTTGGACTATTAAGAGATTTGAGTAAATGAGAGTGTTGGCTAACATGATAAATATGAAAAGTGATTTCTTTTTTTTTTTTAAAAAAACTAAAAAGGAAAACAAGATAGTGAATTAAAATGTAAGGAGTATATCTTTCTAGTTCTATACGTTTTGAAAATCATAGCAAAGCTACACTTGTATAGGATTGAAATGTTATGAGTATATCATTCTAATTTTACACATTTTGAAACCCATAGCAAACTACACTTGTATAATGTATAGGATCGAAATACGCAATGTAAAAGTACCCCTTCATCTCATTTTATGTGAAAGATATTTGAGTGACCGAAGTTTAAGAAGTTAAAAAATAAATTGACATGTAAGTCAAATATTGCATATGCAAAATATCAAAAGTATCCGTATTGCATCTCAATAGTAGACTACAGTAAGACCTGAAAAAAGCAACATAAAAAAAAGTGTTTTGAGGGAAACTTTTACTGGTTCTGAATTTGGCCTTCAAAGACCAAAAGTACATTTTCTTGTACTCCAACAAATTGCAATAAATCTTGCAATTTCAAGATCTTTATAGTGATAGCACATCGAAAAAGATCTTTCGATCAAAACAGGGATACAAAGACCGGACATATAAAGATAAATCAGACAAGAAAAGTGTCAAACTCCGCGTGGATAGTCAGAAGTTGACAATATCTAAAGTCGAGATCAGCAGGAACATCTATCTAAGCGAGCTCAAAACAGGCATTTCCGACCAAGTTTGTAAGCTCAAGAAGAGAAATGAAACCAAAAAGAAGGAACATAATAAGAAAGTTTCATCTTTCTATCAAACTGACCTTAAAAGAAATATATGTGTCCACAATTGTTTCCTGATACATAGTTTACCAACAAAGCTTTAACCCCCTTCCCCCAAAGAACTTTTCACTGTATAATTCTCCTTCAAGAACTGGACTATCTACTTATAATTTTTATACTAATAACTAATAAACCATTGATGTCTGCACAACCACCAAGTTTAGTTAGGCCAGCAGCAGTAACCAGCTCTCCTTCAACTCCACAAACCACCCGCTGCCACGATCTTCTAAGCCACCACCTACTCTGAACTATACTATTCACAAACTATGTACCTGATTGATCAAGCCAGGGAACCTATGAAAGATGGAATGAGCCTTGTCCTTCCATTATGGCATATAACAGCTTTTCCTTCATTTTCTCCTGCAAAATTTCACGGGAAAAAGGAGTTACTTCTTTTGTCAAATAATAAAGAAAAGATATCTCACACAAGGGAGTGAAAGAGAAAGGAGCTGACTTTTGAAGAGTAAGGTGGTAGCTTGAGATAATTGGCACATGTCATCACACTAGGTAGGTCAGCGTCGACCCAAACACTGCAACTCTGCGACAAACCAAAACAGTAGACATTAAAGCAGGAAGTAACATAATAATGCGAACATCTTTTTGTTTCGTCTATTAAGCACTCAGGAAATCTACTGGAAGTACCTTCCGAACGATTGTTAACTTTGGGCTAAGAGATGCCAGACCCCCTGGAGGCAGTCTAGGTGCACCAGTCACAAACTGCAGGAATGCTCTCTGTTGCTTGCTGTCAAATTCCTTCATAATTTCAAGTAACTACAGATTTGCAGTAAGTCAATTGTCATTAGTAGCAATTGGTTCCATTAAAGAATAAAAATCTAAGAAGATAGGACTGTACGAACATTTAAAACTGGAGGACTGTTGGCAGTGTATCCATGGTCAAACTTGATGTGATCCAGAAGCTCATTGGACTGCCCAAAACAACAAAAATCGGTTTTAAAAAACAAACAGGAGATCGATCTTTAAGTAATACCCATCAGCTGCTCAGAAAACACAACTTACGTTCCAGAATCCACACTCTCCGCACAATAGTCTCTCTAATTCATCTTCAGTGAAAACCTGAAGATGTCTGATGGGGAAAACCTGAGGAATCAACAACATTGAAGATGAAAACTATTGGTTTTAGAAAAGGTTAAGACAGAACAAATGAGTAACCCGCAAACCGCGTTTAGAATTCCTACTAAATCTTATGGCAATAGAAACTGATTATTTGATTTGATGAAGTAGCTCCAAAATTCTGCCATTTATATAAGAAGAAATAACAGCGGTATAGTATTTCAAATACAGATGGAAGTTACATATTGGGGATCACCACATGATGAATTTGACTGTGTTGTTAGTGTTCATGTACCAGATGAAAATTATCTCAAATGACCTGCAAATCTTAAGGCGTGATAAAAACCTACATGGCCTCTCCTATAAATTTCTGGAATTATTTCTTCCAGGGAGTATTCTCTTGCATCCAATTGTCAATTGATTAGGTAAGTAGATCAGACTTCATAGAAGTTGATCATAAACTGAAACTTATGCAAACTATAGTTGAAGAACTATTACTTCAATAGTTTATACTAAAAGGTAGACTGATGGAGGCGGACCTGATCAAAGCCCGACTTGAATGCTCCAATTTGTCTTGAAATTCCAGAATTTAGAGTAGCATCCACAACGAGTAAAACATATTCCTCTAAGTTAGAGGAGTCAACCTAGAAACAAGTCATCAACTTCAATGATTAGCCTGTTAGAATCTCAAAAAATATCAGGCATCAACTTGTAGAGTGCTAACCGTTTTTGCATCAGATGCAGAATTAAGGACATAATCTGGATAGCCAGGAAGAGTATAGTCAAGACAAAGATCACCAATTTTTGTATTCCGGAAATTAAGTTCTAGGTCTAACGATGATTTTCCCTCAGGATGTGATTCCAGATGTCTTTTTCTTTCAACAAGAGCCTGAAATTCTAGGAGAACTCCACCAAGTTCAGGGTCAAATGACGGGATGTCATACACAGTGAGTTCCTACAAAAAGAAGAGAACATAAGGAGAACTCAAGAACTAGAACTAACAAGGATGTCTACTAAAGCATGGAGCATACCTTCCCAAGAAGAAGCTTGTAAAATGCTCTGGATAACCGAAGATCTAGAACCCTGCCATCTTGAAGAGACTTCGCAACTATCTGGCCCAGAAGCACAAACTTTTTCAGCACTTCAGAGAACTCTAGGCCATTTAATGAATGGGGTGAAGGTGACCATGGGCGGGGGAACAGACCAAAAGGAGAGAAAATAATTCCAGATTCCTCCTCTACACTCACGCTGCCATGAGCCATGTGATCACCTCTCCACATCGCTAGCCCAATCTTCTGGAACTCATGACTGACCAAGGTAAAAAATTCTAGCGTCGGACCAAGACCAGTACCAACCTCATCATTATATTCCACCTCAATGACAACCTTCTGATTGGCATGGAGGTCCATCATCTGCCTAGCAGAATCCAAAATTCTACTTCGATGAACTAATAATTTTTTCCGGCGTAAAACACTACTGTTTTGGTGCCTACCGCTCATGCCTGCAGCCGTATTATGAGACGATGATTCAGGCTGAATTGGCTGTCGACCAAATGCAGCAAGGCGGAAATACTTGCATCTTGCTTCGAAACCAAACAAAAAGGGGCATGAATTAACCAATTGTTCACACCAAGGTGGCAAACCACCTATGGAAACAGAAAAGGGATTCCTCATTTGCAGTTCTATTTTCTCTGTCAATTTAGTGCTTGCAAATTCATTCTGAGGGAGATCAGAATTTGTGACCTTAATATCACCAAAATTGGTAGTCTTTCCTTCAGCAAAAGCATATAGTTTTGTTCGAGACCCAAGATGAAAACTGAACCTGTTCAAACCTTCCAAGCTTCTAAGAAGAAATAAGATATCATAAGTTGGACTTGATTTCTCAAGATCAACCATTTCAGAACCGAACATGCTAGAGAAAGATGGGGTGTACTGCCACCATGCTGTAGGTTTCTCAGATGGAGTAGAATGTACAGCATGTTTGCAACTCTGAGGACATCCTGGTTTATGTCTCACAAATCTTCTGTAGGTCACCCTGTGTACTTGACTCCATATGCTTGAATTAGTAGTGATGTCATTCTCTGCTTTAATCTGCTGCAGGAGTACAGTTTGATATAGGGTCAACTTGTGGTTCCACTTCTGTCCCTCCAGGTAGAATATCAATTTAGGTGCAACATTTTCATCATCACAACATCCAGTACACTCCAAACTTGTACTACTATCATCTTCAGATGAATTCAATCTTCCTTTCTTCAAAGACTCCTACAAGGCATCAGCGCAAACATAACATCAGGGATATGACAGAATTCAGAGGATCAGGTTGATTTGAGACAGTCAATTAAGATTCTGTAGCTATTCAAAGCATAATACAAAATCACTTAAAAGATATAACAATGTCACCCATCGCAAAGCAAGAATCGAGGACATACTCAAAAATACATAAGATATAACTTGTTAAAACTGTTAGCGAAGGAAAAGACTTACTGCATTAACATCTGAAATATCCATTGGAACACTCTTTGTTTGTTCTACATCCACAGTTTCCACTTCAGCAAATAATTGCAAGTTATTCTTCACAACCTGAAAGAGAACCACAGGAATTTTGGATGAGGAAGCTCATTGCCACTAAATAGAAAGTCTAAACATAACAGATTGAGGAACAACAAGTACAAAAAAGGAAAAAAATGATAAACCAACCTGCGTTTCATGGGAATCTGTGGAAGTGGTGTCCGATTCCATGGGTCCTGGATTTTTACCTTGAGACGTGCTTACATCTTGTGATACACGAGATGGTGACTCTTCCTCCAAATCCAGAGTGGGTGGATTCAACTTTTCACTTTTCTTTCTACTCACTTTTGGCCACAGGTATCCCTCAATTGTTTCCAACAGCGAAAAGGGATCTACATTCACAACACTCTCCGGATAATCAACAAGTGATGACTCCCCCTCTCCCTTCACAAACTGGACCTTCAGACAAGGATATGGAGTACAATGCCCATATGGGATTGTAGCATATGAGTTTCGTAGCTTAGATGCATGACTGATGACTGGGAAGTTTTCAACAGAGCTAAGTGCACTATGCAATCTCCTTATCAAAGCTAGAAAAGTGGAGTTCTCCACAAGCGGGCCAGAGTTATCCAAAAGTAATCTACCAAACAGCTCAAATCTATTTTCTATAATATACAGCTGATTTACTGAGACATCACCATCTACCTTTTTTCCCAAGTATTGGCCATTGGAGAGGTAATTTACTAGAGACTTCACAACTCCACTCTCAATGAACTCGAATGTAGAAATGGCATTATTCCCATTTAACTCTGACATAATTTGATGCAAAACAGGGTAAAAGTCTTCTTTCTCTTGAGAAGGAGCAATGCTGCTACTAAATTTGTGAACCAGATCAGTTAACTGAGAAGAAAGAGTCTTGAGCTTCTGAAGAACATCGGTTATTCCTAATCTGGGGTTCATTGAGTCTGTTGCAAAGTAATTGGTCTTGATATGCCTAGCAAGACTTTGGACAGTCTCTTTCTCTATCTTGCAAGTCCTTGATTCTGGTCCTGTTGGAGTCTGAACAGCATCAGAAGCAAAACAAAGACAATTTACTGCAGTAGGTGGTACTGATCCTTGGCCGGCTTCATCTGATGCTTGAACACCATTGGTTGAAAACAGAGACTGCGAACATTTTTCCGGGGAAAGAAGTGCATCAACAGCAAAAAGAACACCTTCCTTAACAAATGAGGCCAAGAAAATATGAGAGAGCTTCTCTAGTAGCTTATCAACAATTTGAAGGGCTAGTATCAGAACATGAGGATCTTTGCGAGTAAAAACTCCTGCTAAGAAGCTGTAAGATACAGAGAAGTCAATTTAGACTAATAGAAGAAGAAACTAAATTTTTGCTTAAAACATGGAAGAAGCAAAAGCATCTCACCTTGAAATGTTAGTATCTTGAAGAAATTCAAGCCTGTCAGATTTGCTGAAATAAACCAACTTATTGATGACAGAGAGACAGCCAAACCATGCATTTAAATTCATGCCAGAATTGACCACCTGTTTAACGATTAAAAAAGAGTCAGGGGAAGCTAGAGCAAGCTAATTTATATACCACAAATAAGTATAACCACCTGGATCAGCACAGGAAGTAAATGAAACCCAAATTTCTCCAGAAGATCCGGATGGTTGATGAGGAAATCTTCCTTGTCTTCGGCTAGCTTGATATTCTGCTCTCTGGATATGGGAGGAAGAAGTTCATTTAACAACTTGAGAACTTCATCTACCTGAGGACAAAGACAATACAACTCTTTTCCTTCAGCAGTCATCACATGTACAATCATACCATCTAACAAGATATGAGCCAAGGTACTGCCATTTCATAAATTAAAGGGGTGTCAACAAAGCTATACCAAAGGAAATTACTTATATTGCAAGTAGGGGTGTCAAAAAAGAGCCCAATTATAGGTAACCCGCCCAAAATTTTAAGAATTGGGCTCAAGATAATTTGAAATGGGTTCAATCTCAACTCATTCAAGTTTTAACCCATTTTAAGAGAATCCTCAATTGAGACCAATTTAATCTCCAATTTCAACCCATTTTAAGACTCTTTATTTGCATTGATGTAATGTAATGTATGTTCCTATATATTGAAGGTATGAATTACTATCTATTTTATATCTTTTAAGATTTATCTATCCATTTGTAACTTCTTTTTTTAAATTTTATCCTGAGTTCAAATTCAAATTGTGGTCATAAAACTTAAATAATGATATATTAAAATTATTGAGATTAATCGGGTCAAATTAGGTGGGTCAAGACCCAACCCGTGTTTAAGCCCATTTGAGCCCAAAGTAAACTTAGGCGGGCTAGGACCCAATCCAATTTCTATTTCAACCCATTTTAATATCTCCAATTTCAACTCAACTCGCCCATTTGAGACCCCTAATTGCAAGCAAAGCTCAACATTGTTTGAAAGGGGGTAAAAAAATGAACTGTTGATGATCCTACCACTGTAGGCTAACTGTTTGTTTAGATGATTAGATGCATGATTTACAACATTTTATATGGAAAAATCTAGATAACTCCTTTTCATTTGAGATGATTTTTCTTTTTCAGTTTTCAGCCACCTTTCAACCATCTCTTTCCTATTTCCCTCTCTGAAAGTCTTACAACTAAAAGGTAAGAAAAGCTACTTCATTCATTAAGCATAGGAGTGAAGGAGGAAATAAGAGATCTTTTGAAGGGAAAGATCTTGATTCATACTTCTGTGGAATAGCCTCGTATTTTAGATGTCTTTTGGTTCACCCATGAGGTTCCTCTTTGAGCAGAGGATTCTCTACTTTTGCTATACCTCTTGTTATATGGGATCTTCCCCAGTATCGATGAAATTATAATTACTTATAAGCAAATCAAGACTTGCACATCAAATTTATGGTGGTATTCCTCTACTCCATAATTCCAAGTCAAGACTTGCACATCAAATTTATGGTGGTATTCCTCTACACTCCCTTCTAATTCATACTCCTACTATTCTTCCTTCTCTTTCAAATGAAGAAATGGTTCTCTTAACCCTTAATCTTACTGTAGATCTTAGCTGCCACAAACTTGGTTATCAATGCGGTTGGTCCAGATCATTTACACTTGAATAATAATAAGTTTTCATCATGATTGCACCATACTTCCATATTCTATCTATTCCAACGAGAACACCATGTAGCTCCTCTAATAGCAATCCATGAGTTCCATACTAAAACTGAATGAAGCAAAGACAGATCACTTATTTTCCACAGAAAAAAAGAAGACCTAAATATCATTCAAGAAATACAGCATGACCTCATTGGTCCCTCTTTTTCCAACTCGTGACAAGTAAAACTCAAGCAAGTGCATGTACACAAGTCAATAAAGAAAGCACAAAGTTCGTGCTCTACTAAACTAATATTACTTTGGTATCTTTCCTCAAACTACCAGGCAACAGAGAACTATCTGTCAAATGAAACCCCATTTGTTGGAAAATTTTACTTTGTATAGGTAAACTACATTTTTGAAAAAATTAAAATATGTATATGATATTAACTTCTCGACACAAGGAATATCTCCAAAGCAATTGCCAGGGGGGTTCGAGGTTTATATGAGGTCCCAAGTTAGAGCCCCATTAGCACCACTTAAATGCCTTTTCTTGACCCATTGCTGAAAATCCTAAGGCAGACTTAATTCTCTAAATTTGGGTCTCTCCTTTTTCAAACATGCACTATTCTATGGAGCTTAAGCCATCAGTTCTTATGATGGGGACCAAAATGTTTGAGAAAGATATCAATGCGTGATTGCATTTATATTATTTGGAAAAACGAGACAGAGAGCAGCAATTTTGAGAAGCTTATGTACAATTTTCGTCTCGACACTTCTCACTCCACTTTAATCTCTTTTTTATTTTTTGGGGTCAATTTATGCCCACAAAGGTAGGGTTAAGGTCTGTGTTACAATTTTACCCTCCCCAAACCCCACTTGTGAGGTTATACTAAGTATATTATTATTGTTGGGGTCAATTCTATGCTACAACTCCCTTATCATATATAGCTGCGAAATAGTTTCATCTAAACAAACATCACAATCAACAATTAAAAGAATAAGGGAACTTTATAAAGCACCTGATTATAATGCCCATCAACCATCAGAGTAGAAGGCACCCCATGTGAGAAGTCATGAGTGGATAAAATGTCCTTTAATATGTGGCTGATGTTAAGTTCAAAGAGAGTCTTGACAGCAACAATAGAGCCAGCAGCCAGTTTGACAAGTAACCCAATTAAACCCTAACATGAAGGGAAAAAATTACATATAAACCAAGACACTGAAGAATGTAGATTAGGGATATTCATATCTGATGTCAGCAACTAAAATACACTTCAAGATCTTACAACATAAACTGATTGGCTAACTGTTGTTCTTCCATTCAACTCTATGAGATGTGTGACTTGCTGAACCAGCATGTGGTTACACAGTTGGTCCAGCTTCTCTGAAGAATGGCATGCCTGCTCGACTATTCTAATCAAACAAGTTGCTACGCTCTCAACAAGCTGAAAGATAAAGAAACCATTTCAATGTTATAACAGTGTAACACTGAATAATTAAGAGGGATCAGTCCAGGAACAACTTTCCACAAATTATACCTGTCTATCCTCATATAGAAGAAGATTGCACAAAACGGGAACCGCCTCCATTAAAGGTGGAGGACATCCGGAGGGAAGCTTTTTACAAATATTTACGACAGTTAAGAGTGCCTTCCTCTGCAACAGATAAAAGAAACAAACAGAAGAAAATAAACATTTCAACCTCAATATCATCAGTTTATCTATAGCAGATTGTTAATGTTATTGCTTTACCTGCTCACTTGTCGAAAAGAAATCAATGTAATGTAAAATGGCCATTATAGCCCCAGATTGCAAACACACTATAGGTTGCTCCCGCGAGATTTTCTCTAGTGCTTGCAGACACTAAGTTGAAGAGGGAAAAAATCAATCACAGGATAACTCAAAAAATAAAAAATAAAATCGCAGGAGAACATCTAAAAAGCCTTCTACTCTTTAATTTAACACACACAAAAAAAAGAATTATTGATAAACAATTTCATCATACCTGTTCAGCCACATCCAAAAACTCAATGTCCCTTAGTCTTTGGCAAAGGGCAGGAACTGCGTCATGATTGACAAGGGAGGCCGAAGAACGAGGATGAACTTCACATAAATAAGTCATTGCCCTGATTGCTAATAGCATTATTTCAGGATTGCTCTCATATCTAGCCAATCTTACAAGAACGGGAGAAAATAAATCTGCCATTACGTTCGACATCGAACTATCAGGAGAAAACGATAACAAATCACATAGCTCCGTAAGAGCAGCCAACAGTGCTGATTCTTCAGATTCTTTGCTCAATCTTTCCAAAACTCCATTGAATTTGCTCTGATTGCCCATTAATTGCCGCCTGTAATAGTCCCTATAAGTATTATCAGATTCACAAGATCCATAAGCAGAGTCCTTTTCACCTTCACTTGACCCTGAAGTGGATGATGATGATGATGATGATGATGTGTCTATATCACCATGGTGACTTTCGTGTATGGAACTCATTGTAGTAGGAATCACTGAGTTGGAAGTACTAGGCCTGAAATCTGTTGAGCTACAGGGTCGCTTATCGGCAGGCAGTTCATCAACATTTTCAGTCCTTTTCTGCCCCCGGTTTCCCATGAAACAACACCAAGCCAGTTCTATATGTTTTCCTGTCAATATTATAAGCACTTCACTCTTAACAGCCTATTATCATTCTCAAATGCACCAAAACATAAGCAGATTGAATTTTCGTACATCTAAACAAAATTTAGGATCAAAACACTCGAACAAGCAAAATGGATATACTAGTTTCATAAAGCAGACTACAACTATTTCAGATTGAAGCCTAGTTGACTGATTGGGAATTATATCAGCCAACTTCTCCTGGTATAAATAGCACAACTTTATTACATAATCCATTCACTGATTGATCCATGGAAACAAAATCTTGGAATTCTCAAATAATGGGATCCATATATGCAACAACATACCCAGTGTAGTCGCACGAAATGGAGTTTTGGGGGAGTAAAGAGTATGCAGACACTTGGCTCAGCAAAAAACAGACCAAAGCAATCCAGAAAAAGAAGTAATGGATGTAAAATCCTAACAAACCATGTTGAACAGTAACTACAACAACCAAATAATACCATAATAGAACTACAGTAACAAAAATCGAAGGACAAAAAACTAGTCACAACAAATTAACTAGCGACAAGGAGAGCCTCCAAAGCAAAGTCATCATAGTGTTATGTGTTTGAGAATGTTTGATCATTTGGTAAAACAAACACACAAAACAAGCTTACAAAACTACAAAAACACTAAAATTAGCAACCAAATACATTGTTTCAACCAAAAAGAATGAAAAACAAAACAACCCCAGAAAAACTCCCAACTGATTTAAGCATAATATATACATGCATAGTTTAGCCTCCAATGTTAAGTCATCATAGTGTAATATGTTTGATCATCCAGTAAAACAAACAAACAATGCAAGCTTATAGCACTACAAAAACACTAAAATTAGCAAACAAATACATTGTTTCAACCACAAAGAATGAAAACAAAGGAACCCCAGAAAAACTACTAAGTGATTTAAGCATAATATACCTACATAGTTTAGCCTCCAAAGTAAAGTCATCGTAGTGTAACATATTTGATCATATAGTAAAACAAACAAACAAACAATTCAAACTTATATCACTACAAAAACACTAAAATTAGCAAAGAAACACATTGTTTCAACCACCAAAACTGAAAAACAAAACAACCCCACAAAAACTCCCAACTGATTTAAGCATAATATAACCATTCATAGTCACTGCAATTCAAGAACAGCCGATCAGCTTGAAGCAATTTCCAAAAAGACGACATCTTTATGATAAATAACCTCTACCCAGATGCTTAATAAGTTAAATAAGCCAAAAATTTGAAGACCCATAATCACTTTTTACACAATAAATAAGAAAAATATGAAAAAAATCAGTTCTTGGGTACCTAAAAGCGGTGGAGTTTAATCGATCTTTATCTCTTTTCTTTAATTAAATTACTTTCTTCTTCTTTCTTGATAATTCTGCGTTGAATATTTACACAATACACACCTAGTTCAGTGTGTGTTTGTGTGTTTTTACATAAATAAATACATGAAAATTAAAGGATGCTGATGATAGATAATGATGAAAACACAGTAGGAAGGAAGCAGTGGGGGTGGGCGTGGGGGTGGGGTGGAAGTAATTATGTGTATAATGAAGTTTTAAGAGTAAACAAATTCTAAATGAATAAGGTCTCTACTATCATCATGAAAAATATTTAGTGGTCGTTCGGTTAGGAATAAGTTATTTTAAATATTTTATTATTATATATATGAGATAATTTATTTCCTCATTATGGTAAAAATGATGAAATAAATAATCCAAGACTATTTGATACCTCCAATCAGATATGTGATAAAATAATATATTCTACATTTTATCTCAAGATTTTTATACATTATGCCTCACATTTAACGACTTCTAAGTGATTTAATAAAAATAAAATAATGTTTCTTTAGATACATGAGGTATATGTATTAGGTTAATAAAATTACTTTGTTATGAACAAGTTTTTATCATAAAATATTTGAATTGATATAGCTCGCGGTCAAAGTAAATAAAGTGTTTTTGTATATTAGCAAAATTATTTTGTATTTCTTTATATTATTAATTAATAATGCAGCGTGATTATATCATGGTATAAAATACACATTTTCAACTAATTGAGGTGAGTGTGATTGCTAGAAAATATATACTCTTTGTCAAGGAAATGACCTATTCATACCTCCAACGTTATATTGACTCACATGTATTTTTTTCGACTAAAAAAATTTTAAAAATCAATTATAAAAAAACGATTGAAATTAAAAACAATCCTTGAAATCTCAAAATTCGATATTATTCACAACAATCCTAAACGACCAAAATGCAATTTATTATTACATTTATATAGATTTTTTTTATATATATATATATGATAAAATTGACAAGAAGATGAGAGAGAAAAAGAAATCGATTGTCAAAGCACTAAACACAAATTTATCATCGAAATAATAAAAAAATTGTGTGTGTGAAATGATTAAATATACAGCTACATATCTTCTATTTCAATTAAAATTCTAAAAAGAATAATTAAAATGATAAAGATATATCTAAATCATTTATGCAATGATGAAATTATAAATATAACACTTTTAAAACAAAGAATACATTTGCCCTAAATCGTATACATTTTTAAAAAAAAATTCCCATAACAATAATAATTCACTATAAAGCAAAAGGTCTATAATAAAGTGAGATCAATTTCGCTATGTTTACTAAAAGAATATGATTTTATATACTTGTTATAACATTTCCTACTTGAACCAAATGGTAAAACAAAATGATTTTTGGATCTATGGTTAATTTAATGATTGGTCAAAATAATAATAATTTTTCTTGCTTAGAATTCTATAAATTTATAAACAATGTTGAATTATTAGTATAAGAAATATACTTACCGACGAAAGAGAGAGAGCGATTTGCTCAGTGATAGAACTCAAATATGATTCGGCTTATCACTTAAAGGCAGTTTATATAAGAAATTTTGTGACCTAAGTAATAATTAATTTTCCTATTTTCTATCATCTATTGAATTTTAAGGACTGATATCAAATCTTATTTTTATTTTAATTAGAAAAAATAACTAAAAAGACGTGTTAATTGCGACCAAATTTACTATAAGATACCCAAACTTTGTGGGAAGTCTATTAACCCCCTCCCGAGCCCCGACTATATTGAACTAAACTACATATATTTCTAGACTCTAAGGTGATGCACAAAATACAGTTCACTATTTTTGAGGGTGTAAAATGCAAATAATGTATTAAAAATTTATATTTAAATATTATATATATATATATATATATATATATCAAATATGTTTTTCTATTTTTTCCATATAAATCAAATTCGGAGAATAGTGAGTACGTTGACTTCTGATATTATAACTGATTTTCCGAAAAAAGATTCATTAACAAAATATTGACATAATTGGATTAGTTTGCTAAGGGACGAGGAAATTTTTAGACCAAAATCAAATCTAGAGTATTTTTATTACAATTTTAAAAATAATTTAAGGATACTTATTACTCTTTTTTCCTTTTTATTATTAACTCGAGCTAGTTGACTAACACCTTGTTTGAATGGTGTTTTTTGGGGATGATAGTTGCTTGTTAAATATATTATTTATTTTGATTGTTACTTAAATTTTATAGTATTGTACCGTTTAGATTCATGGTTAGGTAATGACGAAAAGACCCATTTTGTGTAATGACCAATTTGGTGAGATCGCGTCGTTATCTTTATATTTTCTTGTCATTTTATCTTTACTTGTTATTTAATAATTCTATTTTATCACTTGCCCTACTTTTTCATAATAGCTTTACCTTGAACCCTATAATTTCTTATATGTTTATCGTTCAAATTATGAATGTGCGACATTATTCAATGAAACAATACGATACAATATAATAGATACAACACAATACAATATAATCATATATATATATATAAAGAATGCTAGGCCCGCCTACGTGGCGCCACCGCAAATCAAGATTCTCTTTTAATTTATTTTTTTTCAAAACTAGCCCTTTCCCTTTTATGAAAATTTGTGACTTTTATGAAAAGTTGTAACATTTATGAAAAGTTGTGACTTTTATGAAGAGTTGCGACTTTTATGAAAAATTGTGACTTTTATGAAAGGTTGTGACATTTCTGAAGGATTGTAACTTTTCCAAAGAGTTGTGACCTTTCCGATAAGGCACAATAAACATTTGTTCACTACCCTTTGTTGTCTATAAATAGAAGGATTTCCTGCCACTATTATTTGTAGGTTTTTTTCCGCTATAGGGTAGTCGAATTCAAATACATTAATTAAGCTTCTTATGAAGTTTGTTTCATTCCTCAAAGTTTTCTTCCTCCTATTTCATAGAGCTTAACCTTTACTATAAGTCATAGTGATTCATGTAACCATGACAATTTCTTTTTGCTATTTTGCTGACTTATTTTTAAACTTTGTTAAAAATTTCAGCAAGGATGATTGAAAATTGATCTTCTCTTTTGTCCCTTTCTACAGGTTTCTTCATATAAACAAAGAAAATTGATTTTAATTGCAATGCGACATTACTCCTGCACATCTCAGTCCACAACTCATAACAGTGTTGAAATGGTTGAATTCATTACATTTGGTTCTTTAGTAAACAAAATTTTTATTTCTGCCACTATTATTTGTAGGTTTTTTTCGCTATAGAGGAGTCGAATTGAAATACATTAATTAAGCTTTTATGAAGTGTGTTTCATTCCTCAAAGTTTTCTTCCTCCTATTTCATGAAACTTAATCTTTTACTGTAAGTCATAGTGATTCATGTATCTATTGCAATTTCTTTTTGCTATTTTGGTGAGTTTTTTTTAACTCTATTAAAAATTCCAGTGAGGATAAATTATCTTCTCTTTTGTTCCTTTCTACATGTTTCTTCATATACTTTTTGGGAAAATTACTTGTGGGTTGTGCTATATTTCATAGCACACAACAACAAATATGTGATAACTAATACAGAACCAATGATGAAGATTGTTAAAAGAACCTAACAGATTGCTCTCTTGCTTGCCACAGCTAGATATTATTTTGAGGTACAAACATTTTGTATGCTATTGCACTCTTCCTAGAATATTAGTATAGAAACAATTAGTCTACTTCTTTTATCGCAAGTTAACTAATTTGCCATATTGCTTCGTCTCTTCTTTTTGGGCATAATAAGAGATCACGTTTTCTTGAAACTAACAAATGTCCAAAATACACTATAACAAAAAAAAAAAATTGGCAATAAATATGCACATTAACGAAAAGTGCTAGATCCTTTACCGACATTAATTAATTGTCATTAGATTCAATGTTGCTATAGACTTTAGGGACATTTATAGAGAGTACCAATTGCCTTTGAAAATACATATTTAGCGACAATTAAACTATTAATTGTTGTTAAAGATCATTTTTATTGTAGTGATAACTCTTTCTTTTGATAAAGTTCTTTTTTTTATTTATTTATAAAGAAGTAATAACTCTTTCTTTTGGCTTCTTTCAATTAAATTTGTGAACTGTAAACTTTGATACAACCTGACAGACTATCTTTTGAAAAATATGTTAAGCAACATGCCTTTTTCTTCTTGATTGTTAGGAAAGAAAGGCCGTCTTTATTATTATTTGTGGATATTTGTGACTTCAAGTGCTTACAAAATTATGTTGTGAGATTTTAATATGATATGTGTCAAAATTTTGGTTTAGAATATCCAGTTGTGAACCGTTCCTTTCAGATGTCACCTACTGCTTGGTTGATAATTGCATTAATTTTTTGTAACTGCATACTATAACCATAACAATAACTATGGTTCAATTCCAAATAAGTTGGGGCCGGTGATATGAAACCTAAACAATAGTAATGACTATTCTGAGACAATGAGGAAAAGCATTTATGATACTAACAATTTTAGGGTCATTTTTTTTTATATATACATGATACAACATACTATAATAAAAAAGAGATTGATGGAAGTTCATAAGAAAGGAGCCGAAGGTCCTCCATTTGAATTTAGTTAATTATGTTCTTGTATGGACGTGATGTTCCACTAGATTTGGGAGTGTTGTTGTTCGAGACTTTTGGGTGTTTTCTTTTAACATCTGATGTTGTTCTTTATAACTTCTTGAAATTTAGAAAATTTCATTACTTTTGACCAACTATTTTCATGGAGATTTTCTTAGACTTCTTTCTTATACTTAAAATCTCTCTATAACTTGTAATTTTTGTATAACAAAAACGAAAATTAAAAAAATACAACACTTTAAGATTTCGGAGAAACGCTTTGCTTTAAAATAAAATGTTCTTGACAATGTAGTGTATATATCGAAAATACGAATATTACCGAATGATCATATATAAGCTTAATAAAATAGTTGAATCTCGTGCGAAGCACGAATAATTTACCTAATACGATATATTATGAAACAATGGATAATAACCCTTCCAATATTATATTTTATATTAGTAGAAATTTAACTTTTAATAATTTAGGAATATTTTTTTTTATACAACATAAAACTAAAGTAGAACAGAGAGCAAAACTGCGATTCAAGATTCAAAAAATCCCC